AGTAGAGACGTTAGCAAAGCGAAGGGAATGTGTCAATTTGCTTTTATAACTCTTGTAAAGTTTCTCACGATATGGAGTTGGGTTAGCAAGGAAACGCTTTTGTAATAAATTCTTTTTTCTTACCGATTTAAGAAGACCTTTAGTTATCCATGGTTTGCTCAAAGTAACATTCTTTACTTTCACTTTTTTGAGAGGAAAGCAGTCATTGTAAATGGTAGTGTCAGTTATCAAGAAAACATCGATAAGCGCAATCAGTATCTTTACATTCAGAAAGGCTGCGGGCATTTAAGTGAAATAATGAAAAGGATATTAAGTTATTACCAATTCCCCCATTCAATTCTTCCGCAGTCTCGTAATTGCAATACCTAGCTGTGCTAGCATAATTTTGGTGGTTTAAATCAGGATCAAGGTCACTATTAGGATCACTGAGGCAAGAATTGGATTTAAAAAAAGCGTTTCAAGTTGATCAATGTCATAGCTTATCTTCACATGTTGAAACTCATAAAGGACAATTTTAAAAGTATTGTTATCCAAATCATGAAATGGAAACTGAGACTTGCAGTAAATTACATAGTGAAGATCCTAGCGATTCGGTGCAGAGATAACAAGTCATATTAATCCGCGTGACTAGACTCCCCCGATGTGTTCTCATCATTTGCAGATCCAGAATTTACCGGGTTATCAAAAATAACTAGTTTGTCAACCTCAGGAATGCTCTTTGGTTCCTGCTTCTTGCTTCCTTGAGCATTAGTTCCTTCCGCTTCTTTATAACACGATCGGAGTAATCCTGGTTTACGAACATATCAGTTCCGCGCAGCTTCTTCTTGGCTTTGAAAACTGCCTCACGATCCGTGTAATTGAGAAACCGGGCGGCAATTTTGCGAGGCTTAGAGTCAGAGCGAGGTCTACCAACACGATGAGCCCTTTCAATGACAAAGTCGGTACCGACTTCAGGCATGTGTCTTGAATAAGGTGTTTGACTTTGCTTTCAGATTCCTGCCAAGTTTCCGATTCCTGTTTCGTGACTCAGGAATTCCCTCAAAGCACAAATTATTTCGCCTTGATCGATTTTCGAAGTAATCTAACTTGTTTCCTAGCTCCTCGATTTGTACTTTGAAATCCTTTACTCTGAGGTCGGAGGTTATCAGATCCTGAACTTGGGCTTGTGTGAACTCTAAACTCGATTTAACACTTTGCACATCTTTCAACAAGTTGTCAATTCTAGTGTTAATAGAATCCATGTAGGCACTAAGAAACACTTCTAAAGTTGACTGTTGCTGCTTAAGCAACTTTTTCACTATAGTTTAAGGGGCATTTGTACATCGTGTTCCTCAAGACTACCACGTTTTGATTCAGAGGACGTCTTTGAGCGTGTTACCCCCATGATTATGCAAAATGCAAATAATTATGCAAATAATTTCGCTCAAGCATTTGAGCGAAATTCACAATCCATCAGAGTGGGATACGCATTAGAACTAACCTTAACTGGTTAAAAATAAGCGACGGGTATCATGTACACAACTCCTGCACAAATTAGTGGTATTGGAAGTTATAGGGCCTTCCGAGCTTTGCTCTAACTAAAAAGGTCCTTAAGAGATTTTCCCTTGCGATAAGGTATGAGGGGAGGCTCCATAAAGATTTCTCTTAGGAATTAGTCCTTAGAGGCCTGAGCGCTTCTCCTTTTATGAAGCCTTTCTTCGCGCCTGGTGGGTGACACTAGTAGCAGTTCGTGTACTGGAATTTTTCTGTTGGTATGTTTAGCTCTACACCGATCTGCGATTCCAAATCCTTCTATAACTCGAAAAGTAAAATCAAACAACATCTTGTCACTTTCGTCCCCGATTACCATTTCAAAGGACCAACGCACTGCTGGTTTTTCTTGTTTTTTTTTTTTGTTTTTTTTTCTATAAATTGCAGCAGTGACAGGTAGCACAACACGATCGGCAAACGATCTATCCGCCATCTTGGCAACCTGTGACAACAGATTCCCGCCAACTTATGACCCTCGTAACCTCGTACCCAGTCTCCCACCTGAGAGCCTTGACTTGAGGTCTTGTTATCTTTTATGTAAAGTGACAAAACCAATGACAATCATGCATAAATGACCATAAATAAAATCTCAGAAGTAATGCTCTTTATTTCTTATATCAAAATGTTTTCGTCCTCTAATTTGTACAGTTTTGTTCCCTTAGATATTTTGCCAATGTTCCCTTGTTCCCCCAGGCCCCCGGCAGACCCTCTAAAACAACTCTGTTGGATTAGCCTCGTCACCTTTCGGTGGTAGCATCCAACTTGAGTCTTTGACTCTGCTGATATCAGAGGATTGCAGTGTTGATGTCACTGACACACTCCAAGTTTTCTTCGCTGCAAGATTCATTAATATTTTGAAGACAACATTCTTACAAGACAACACTTCGTTTTCAGTGAAAAACATGTGATTTGTTTTTCTTAGAAATCATGTGATTTTGTATACCTTTGTCTGTTTCGTTACCAAGTTTGTATACGTTGTAAATCAAGTCCTCCTTGCGTGATCAACATGAGAATATTTTTCCATGTGTGGAATTCAATAATGTTTAAAATAGAAAATTACAATTGAGGTTCCTTGGCTTGTTTTACTTTTGTATAGTAAAATGTCAATCGAGCACAATTTTGTCTAGTGTACTAAGTTAAGTGTATGTTTCCCGCAAGCAGGTCGAAGTTGTCACCTTTTTTTTTTTTTTTTTTCGCTCGTCGCGTGTTTCAACTCGTTTAGTTTTACGGTCAAATAGTACATGTAGAAGCAGGAAAATAAGGATGATTAACGCGAGAGGCATAGTTACAAAAACAAGCAAACAAAAGTAGGAAATAGTCGGTACAAATGGGCTACAAATACTTAGGTTTTCGCGTTTCCTCCAAACGGGAGAATGCCCTGTTCGCGTTAAAACGGCGGCCGGCTAACAACACACGCTGAAAACTGATCTCTCAATGCCATTCTGTGCTGCAGGAAATAATACGCAGTGCTTAAATCTTTCTATTACATGTATTTTTAACCAAGCCTAAAACCGGAGCTCCCGTCAAAGACTAACTCTTCACTTGAAACCAATAACTTTTCAACTTCCGTATTGAACCTATCAATTTTAACTTATCTCTGGCTGCTCTGGCGTCGAGGGGGTGACCTTAACCTTGCTTATCCATAACTTTGGAAAAAAAAACACTGAAAAAACAGACAGTTTCTGTCGTGAATTCCTTTTTATTTTTATTTCATTTCCCGTATAACGATTTTGTGCGTTTATTATTTTACGTTTCACCGGAAATTCACTACTTGCTCAATGGTGTGCATCCCAGAACACACATGCAGTGTATATAAGCTCGAGTAGCTGTAGTTACTGTCCTTGAATCAGTAGCATGTCTAAAATACGCGCAGTCTATATACAAGCACTTAAACTTACCCTTGTGTTTGCATCACTATTTTAAAGCCGAAGAAATCTAGAAAAGACATGCATGGAACCCTCGATAATAGCGTGTCCGTTGATCAGGGATCAGGGTGCAGGTACCCTTTCCCGTAACTGAAGAACACCACTTACACCCTCCTGTTTCTCAGAACATTGTAAACAACAGGCTAAAAGGGCTTTCCTAACCCAGCCAGCAGAAACGTTCTTTTATTTGCTTGCTCAATATTGGCGTATTTAGGGACCGAGGCTATGCATAATCGAGTAAGAGTTTTGTTGAGCGCGCGCTGTATGTTGCCAGGAAACAGTTTTGAATTCAGGTTTAATAGCCGTGTTCCCAATGGTACAGCAGGATCAGTTATGATCACCTGTTTATCAATAAACAGACGCTTGCAATCAAAAAGCCAATTTGACTTCTTCAGAAGTTTGGGTTCAAATGATTGACGGGATTCTGGTAGATCCTCTTTTCCTCCTTGTCGATCAAGGAAAAAAAACAAAAACAAAAACAAAAACAAAACAAAAAAAGGAGGCTCTCCTAGCAGTGCAGGGTTGGCTTTCAGTTTTTGCGTAATGCCTCAATCAAAACTGGCTCTATTCTTCATATTTTTACTCACGTGCATGATATCATAAAAGCAAATTATTAGATTTTTAAACCACTTAATTTTTTAATACTGTCTTTGCAAATCTCTTCGCTGGTAGATGGTGAAAAAAACTTGTGTCAATTTTAGTAAGAATCGGAGATAATCCCAACAATTAACTTCGCGGCAGAGCTCAAAATTAGTTTCCGCTGATACTTTTACATTAATAGAGTATTGTATGGTAGTTAACAAACGGGGGTTAGTTTGGTCTAATTTTTGCGTTTTTAAGAAAAATTAAGTAAAATCGTTGGGTCCGTTTTGAACTAAAATGACCAGCCCTCTTTGATGAACAGAAATTTCACTTTATTCGTGACACTCTCAAGTTATAGCGGGATAAAGCTTATAAATAATTTCTTACTATGGATAAATAGCTTGCCCCTTGGTCAATTAAATATTGTTTATATTGATGAATGATTTACTTTATAAGACCCGTCGGGAGCTTTTCGTTGAAGGTACTTCGTTGTGTTTTCTGAATGGCTCTAAGGTCACATAAAAGACCTACCTAAAAACCCGGTCGGAACGCCAAAGTAAATCCTCTGACTAAGCTTTCTCTAAAGTTTAAGGATAGATGTTCTATGTTTTCTTTTCATTTCTTTGGGATCTTTTTCAATTTTTCGATACGACCAACCCAAAGTTTGCTAATTTGCAAGATTTTTCGATGACCGCCATATTGAAACTGTGAGAAACTACCGTACAAAAACCGTATTACTTTTGAATAAAATGAGTCTAAAATTATAAGAGCAAGTGAGATTAAGCTTGGTAATACACAAAAGTCGTTGCCTCTATGTTGTTTTGAAAGTTAAAAGCAAGAAAAGGACTCTTCCAACCTTTTCCCTCCCGTACCAAGGCAGGGATAAAAATTAGCTTGTGGGACCGGTGATCGAAACAGCGTGACCTAACCCTTTCATGATAATCCCATTTCAGTTAGATTTGTCCGTTTCATTGCAGAGCCAATCGACGTGCGAATGATGTCGGCAGGCTTCGACGACATTCGTGGAGGAAATTCTTCTATTACGATTGACGGACTTGAAGTTAGTCCAAATGTAAGTCACGTGTTCGATTTATTCAAACAGTTCAGAGTTTTGAAATCCCAGCGAAAGCATCAGTGATGATTTATTTTGGCTTTAGTCCCTAGAAATGCTAGAGCTTTTAGAGGGAGACACATTGCCAAAAAAAAAAAAAGATAATAATAAAAAAGATAAAAAATAGTTCAACGAAGCTAGTTGTAAATTAATTCAATATAAGCGGAGCCTCTTAACTAAGAAAATTTGGTTATCTATCCATCTGAGAAATTTGGGTAGTCACCCGACCGTACTTCCGTCCGAGTGCAAAATCGTACACATTTTAGCTAGTGTGAGAGACTGCAACCTGATATTGCATATCAATGTTGTGGTCAATTGACAGCTCTTAAAAAAATAGCATACGCTGACCAGTATCACATCATATCGCGGATTCAGGTGTCCACCCATCGAGGTTACGTGGTTTTTGAAGTTATCCGGTGACAAATTTCTAGTTTTTCTTCTGATTGCAGGCTAAACTTCAAGGGGATTCAAGTTTACAGTTTGAAGTTGATTATAAATTTTATTAACAGGAACCTCGATTTCAGCCTCGGGTAAATGTTTATATTAAGTTCAAAATACATTTTTTTTATTCTAGAAACGTGGTCATAATGTGGTAGCGGTCGACCAAGAGGGAAACGTTATCGGGGCCAGAAATTTCGATACTCATGAAGATAGCTCTGCAGGTAAAAACATGGCGAATTTCATCGAGTCTCTACCAACTCATACCGTGGTGTTGATTGCGGTCAAAGATTCTGGTGAAAAGTTCGTTGATGATGCCGCTAATGCTCTTAAAAGCCTGGGCGCTACTAACCCTTTGAACCCAGACTTTCGTGGGTCATGGCTGTTGGTGGGATATAAAGGGAATGGAGAAAAGCCGTCGTGGATACGACAAGAACAGCAAGCGCGGTCCTTTGGTCCTTGCTATATAACGGTCAGAGTGTTTGAAGGGAAGGGTGCTCGATAAGAAAAAATCCTGAAATACATACTCTGTTTAGGACAACTCCCTCAATTCTAACCGCTGTTTAGGACAAAGGACAAAATACACGCCGCCTAGTTTTTAAATATTTATTGGCCATTGTAATAGAGCAAATACACGGTATAGTCACTGCTTTTGTATACTTGGAGTACAAACAAATTTGATCCTGTTTATGATTAGGACATACTCGCACAAAATTATAGTATTATTGGCACATTCATTCCCCGTATAGGCCATATAAGAAAGTACCCCTGGGAATAATTCACAACGTTTACGTTGAACCATAAGGGCTGAAACATTTTCCTGAAGAAGAGGAAAAAAAATGCTTACTAATACAAAGGATGATATATTGTTCTGTGTTGTTAAAAGTAATTTGGCAAATATATATCCGTTGGTTTGTTGGTCACAACGTTAACTATAAATAAAAAAGTTAAGTCCAAAAAGCTTTAAAGGAATTAGCAAAACCAGAAACTACTTGGTAGTAACAGCAGGCCCTACGTTTTTCCAACTAACTTTTTCTGCATGCATTGATATGCCTCGTTATGACGCTAACTATTCGGTAGATCGAGAGAGACCCTCTTCCGTTAGTTCGACATTTTTCACTTCCGTCTGGAAATGTGACAATGTTCACGAAATCTTTTCTTTTCACCCTTTTTTTACCGTGAATCTGTGGATGAAATCGTATTGCTGTTAACCATTCAAATAAAAGCTACTGAGCAATACTATTCTGTGGTATTGCATGCTTATTTGGTTGTACAGGGTGCTGCTAGCTTTCAAGTCTGTGGCTGAAACCCTAAAGTGTGACCATTCAAATTATAGTTCCTTAGCAGTTCGTTCGTGTGGTAGTGTTTATTTTGCTGCAAGGGAAGTGAAAGGCTTTATCAGCTGAGAAAAAATAANCGAAGAAAATGCTTAATTTTCGCTAATTTCATACTCGAAAGAGCGCCGATTTGGCGTTTTTCAAACTTTGCCCGATTCAGGAAAAAATAAAAAGCCGTTACAAGTTTTAATGTGATTTTTGAAATAAGTGTACTATAGAGATTGTGTGGGCAAAATATGAAGAAATTCAAAAATTCACGACTGTCAACCGATTCTCGAAAATTACAGACATTGGCTCTTAAGCTCCCCAACTGCAGCAAAGTACTGCCTTAAACTTTTCCTTGAATCGCTCGTTGACCAAGGGGTAAATAATCGGGTTGAAGGCTAAATTGAACAAGACTATTGTGTTGCTAATGCTTCCATTGTATGGAATTCATGCGCGGGTAAAAATCAACCACGGGGTAGCCAACTGTGTTTGTCCCCCAGCACAGCCAAAAGATGATGCTGGCATTGAAGACCATCAAGGTGACTCGCTTCCGAACCCTCATCCCACCCTACCAAGAAAAGAAGATCAATGAATTCATGCTCTTAGGCTGTGTTCACAATTGGTTCCCGGTATCACTAGCAAGTACCAGTACAAATTGATGCTGTGTTCAGACAGTTGGTACCCGATAGTGCATTATATACACTGATTGATAAGCCCCTTAAATTTTCAGCACAAAAACACAGGTCACAACGCTGGTCGCAAAAGAAAAATATCAATGACTTTATGCTTTCAGGCTGTGCACGCACTTGGCTCGCGAGTACTATTTGGGTAGATATTTTTATACGTGCCTAAAAGCTTTTAATGATTGGTCAAGAGGAAAACATTTCATTTTATTTCCCAGCCGAGGGAAACAGTGAGGCTCCATTCAATTGGGCCCCGGAGTAAAAAACGCGGTTTCCCTTTCTCGTTTAGACGGATGAAAACGGGAATACACCACTTACACCACCTTATTCGCCGCCCAAAATTTTCCATAAGCATTGTCTTCAATTTCTCTTGGGTCAGCTGTAATACCCAGGAAAAATGAAAAACAAAGGTTACGCAAAATTTGGGAGGCAATTAAGATACATTATGGGAAAAGTGGAAGTGGCGTATTCAGTTTTTCTAAACCATAATTATAACTTAAAAGCATCTTATCTCGCATGAGGTTACCATATTTCATTGTCATTTGGCCATATTTTAAGGACTAATAGCACTTCTTAAGTCAATGTTTCCTTAACAAAGGTTTCATGTTTTCTGAAGACGACTTAACAAAACAAGACGAGCCAAAGGTAGCAGGACCTTTCCGACCTTGGCGGCTATGTGAAACGGAGCAAGATGTAAAAATGCTGGCGGATCTGGCGAAAAAATTTTGCCTACCAAGCAAGTTTATTTTAGAGGGGCATTCAACTTAAAAGGAAAATTTCTGATCACTCAAGGCCAGTCCGGGTCATGTATCCGTTTTAAAACCAAAGGAGATGTGCTTGAACGGACGAAAAGATTCGAAATCTGTACTTAAAGACGAGTAATGATTACGTCAGCGTGGAAAATGGCTTAAAAGAGGTTGGCCACTGACTGACAGCAGGCTCACTTTATACATTTTGGACTGTATTTTGAGTAGATTTTTCTAGCCTGAGAATACAGCCCTCCTTCCTTGCTTCTCGCCGCTAGGAACTTTTCGCCAGGAGGGACGTTGACGCCTCAGCGTCGACAGAAATTCCATGCTGATGACGTAAATCAATATTTACATGATTAATTCAGTCACAGGGCTCCAAACGTAGATTTGTTATATTTTATGTTCCTCTTGGTCGATTATGGTAAAGTTCTGTGTCCTTCTGCGAAAGAGCTCAAGAAAAAATCGGATGATTTTTCTAAAGAATAATAAAGTCCAGGAATATTGACTCTTTTGTAGTAGATTCATCGCGTTTACATTTGACCTTTGTGGCCTTTTGTCTTTTGTCTGTCATTCGTAAACAATAGGTAAAACAAAATAACTACTACGTTGACCAATCAGAGTTCCTGACCGGATTCTCGACAGATTTTACGTCATCAGTATGGAATTTCGGTCGCTCCCTAGTGGCGAGGAGCAAGGAGAAATGGCTGTATTTGTAGGATAAGATTTTTCTAACCTGTTGTTTGAACCACAAGGTGTAAACGACTCGCGAATACAAGGCAGTCATAGCCACGACTGGGAGCAATTCCAAAAATAGAAACCAAGCCATTAACTGAGAAGTTTTCCAATCCATTCTTCTGGAAGCAAATAAATGCATCCACCATTCAATTTCCTAGACGGAGAAGTAAACTCTATACTGTTATCGCACCTTGCTTTTATACCGACCAGCAAACCCATCTTCTCTGCTCAAATTAATGCTTACACTATCCTTTATGTTTGGCTAGAAGTGACTTATCCCGCACGAAACCTTCGAAGCATCTCAAATTTCACTGTTAAGATTGGGTTTTCTAGTCATTTTGAAACAAGGATAGCATGGTAAAAATTAAGGTGTCGAGTATTATATACTAGGATTTCTACAATACTTGTTAAGAAGGCTTTAAAGTTGTTGTTTGAAAATTATAAGGAGTAGTCGATCTAGGTAATTTTAAGGTGTCGAGCTTCTTCTTCGAATGTGATTGGCTAAACTGGCTGATGAATTAACTATACGATGCCAAAAACACAACCGTACGAGTCTGATTACAACACGGGTGGCTAACAACTTCTTACAGGTCATTTACAGCTTGAAGACTCGATACAGCTATGACCTGACAGGGAATTATCTTAACTATTATTATTTAAATACTTTTCACGGGGTTGGTATTAGTTGATCATAAAATAATAACAATTTCCATTGCTTGCATTTTTATTGTTTAACAGTAAGACCAGAAAGCTGGGACTTTGAGACTCACTTCAAACATCCATTCGGGAACAAGGTACAAGTACCTGGGAAAACATGTCATGAAAAGAAAAACATTCAAAGAGGACAGACGGCAAATTGTTGTTGCTCGAAATATCTATAAGTCGTAAATGTTTATCAGTCAGGATGCCTAAAATGATTATTTGGGCAATTCCACCATAGTTTCCGTCTCCATTAAATCCTAGACCAATTAGGACAACATTTTAGGAGGAGCCACCCACAATGTGAGCTCAGTTACTAACAAGTTGATGACCACATTGCCACTGTAGTTACTGTGGAGCGCTTCCTTAATCAGATTTTGCAATGCTTGGCAGATACTGTTCATGAAACTCGTTCATATGTAACAGAAAGGCATGGGTCAGAGTAGTCAGGGGCCTTGGCCCACTGTAGAATAAGCACTGAGGATAGTATCCTAACTTCTTTTGGTACGAGTTTGATTTTTTTTTTTCAATAAAGAAACATTAATGACTGAGTGACATCATGCTGTGGTGAAGGGTATTTCGCCTGAATGAGGAAGAACTACCGCTGTCTTGTTGACTTTAGGACAAATTTAAGACAATTGTGGATGGAACTGGGGTTCAAGCGAAGTCGGCAATTAGAAAAACACCGACAACGAAAATAATTCAGAAAGACTATTGAGGTGTCTTAGGTATTTGGGTTATAAAAGATGAGGTCGTCTCAAAATCTACCTTGGACAGAATATTTTGGATTAATAATTAAAATGAAAAAAAATTGTCGGGAAACCTTTATGCCCTGCTGAATGACAATCATGTATGGCGGACCACGTTTGTCTGTGTCGGCGCTGTTCAATCTGGCGTTTGTCTTTGGAGAGTTAGGCTGAGCTACACATTAAGGTTATAGTAGGTAGTTAAGTAAATAGGAAGTTTAACTCTGTTCAGTCTAAAAAACACTTTACAGACGTACTCTTCATTGATTGGTCCTTATAAGACAGTAAAACGGCCAATAACCTTCACCACAGCATGACGTCACTCAATGATTAATAAACCTTCAGTGTGTAAAGTAACTTTAGATTTAATAATACCAAAAGAGGATAGGAACTTATCCTGTTTATTCTCTTTAAATCAAGGGTCCCGACTTTCCTCCTTCAGTTTTATTCGGGATAGTCTGTCGAACGGTGACATCCATGCCAAGACCTGTAAAATCTGATAAACTCGGGAATGGTTTTCTCGTGGCCTTCAGTATGTCAGCCTGTCGCTTCTCTGTGCTAACTCTCTTTTTGGCATTTTTGGTTTGGGGTGCTTGGCTGAACTACATCGCAATTGCACATCAAGGTAGTAATAGTAGGTAGTCGCAAAGAAAAATGAACTAAACGCAGTTAAAACGATGATCCTATTCAATTCCGGCACCCTAATCCTGTCAAAACAGTTTACATGAAAACGCGGAGAGTATCTTATCATATAAGTCCTCAAATGTAACAGGTAACTAACAGCAAGGTGTATCAACAAGTTGATTACGCATTTGATAAGCCCCAAAGATCGCGCTTATTGATTGACTTCGACAAATTTAACGTAGATTAGTTTCTACAGTTTTAAAACCAGTTCTTAGCAGTCTTATCAACCACGTTTTGAATGATCCGATCTAGTTAGAAAATCAAAGGTGAATACTTTTCGCTCGTTCTGGGTATATTTTGATTTGAACATTTAAAATACGTCTGTAATGAAAACCCTTGCATAATTGAGCAGCCGGAGAAATATTTAACAAGTGAAAGATCATCGCAGTGTTTTTTCTTTTTCTTATTCTTTTTCTTCTTTCTTTTTCTTTTTTTTTTTTATTGTTATTTTTATGTAGGCCCCTTTAAAAGCAGTCGCAAAAAGAAAAGCTTGAAGAAATTCAGCCAGTTTATTTATGAAAAAGCTTAATGTTTTTCTTTCTCTATCAGCATATGTTTTCGGATCTAAACACTTGACTTATTGCAAAAAATGTTAACATTTTGTTGATAACCAAAAGGATCGAGTATTAAAGATGAATGTTAATTATTTATTTATTTAATATTTTGAATGTCTTGTATATTTAGACAGCCGGCAAGTTTCAAAGGCCTCTGCTAAAAAATCAGTAGAAACGAAATTGAACTGTGATATGCTAGTCACAACAAAAAACATCAATTAAAGCAGACTTTAAAGTCAATTCATGACCTATAGAGTGTTATAAAGAATGTCGTATTGACATATTAATTGTTATTTCATATATGGTTCAGTGACGACTAAAGTTTTTTACGCCAGACGATGGTCATTATTTGGGAGATCTCGTGTTTTTGAATCTTACTTTTGAAATATACACTCCCTGTCATCTCATTAAAAATCAAGTCAACTCATCAAAAACTAGAAATACGTGTATCGCAGAGGCTCGCAAAACTCGGGAGGAGGAGGCCCATAAAATGTCAGGGATGGAGGTTAGGGGGCGGAGAAAGTTGGAGTGTAGGGTTGGGAGGGCGGGTTTCGACACTGGCTTTAAGAGGGTGAGATGTAGTTAATCTCCTTTTGGTTAGAGTAAATTTGAATCCAATGCTCTGTCGTTAAAGAAGATTTTGTCAGTGGGATTTAAATGGGGTTGACGTTTGTTAAGGAAAGGTAGCTAATGTTTCATAGGTCCCGTACGGGCAAAATTTTCCTAAAATGATAACACATGC